TATTAAAAAGGGCTGAAAAACCCTCAGGCCTCCCCAGGAGCAAGATACAAAGTCATCCCTTTCACAAGCCGATGAGGAAAGGAGTCATGCAATTTTAAAGTTTCGGATGGCAAGGCATGAGCATGCCCCCAAGCACCATCAAGCAATTTTAAAACATCAGGAAAGTAACCACAGAGGAAGTAAAAGTGGGTGGTAGGCTCTTTCCAGGTTGCATGGCTGGCTCACAACCACACCTATGTCAGGGCAGTGCCCTAACCCACAGACTATAGCCTGTCCTGGACTATCCTGCTGAGCTATGAAATGGAAAAATATTTACTGGATGAAAGAATGAAACATCCACAGAAACCAGATTCCCCACACCTGAATGCCTTCATCACAGAGCAGAAGTCACTTTCCCTCTGGCATAATTAATTAATTTTTTCAGAGTGGCACAGCTGCAGGTGAAATAAAGGACAGTGTATGCCACGCTGCTTGTTGCAGTCACTTGGGGAGAGGGAAATGTGAGCCCAAGTTACTTCATGCTGAAAAGGGGACAGAGAACTTCATGAGTAAAGGATGTAACTAATGTACCATCAACTGTAAAGAGAAGAGTCACTGCAAATGCTTCTGCTTCTTGTTTGAGTAAATAGCTTGCACTTACTTATTTTCTTAGCAAAACAAGCTTTTCAAATCCCAAGAGAACACTCCCATCTCATGATGCCAAAGGCAGTTATACAGGAGAGTGATGCCACTCTCCAGAAGTCACAGCAGTAACAGCTCTGGAGGGATTCAGAAATGAAGCTCTGTGTGTCTGATTTTCTTCACAGTAAAGAATACAAACAACAGTGTGCTTTCAGACGTGAGTTTTAAGAACATCAACCTTAGCTTTGGGGCATCTAATTGTAAAATAGGCCACTCAAATAATTTATGAATTCAGGCTGTAATACAACAGGGAGGAGTCCTCCCCCTGCCAAATCCCATAAATTATATATAAAAAAAACTTCTAACAACTACTTAAAATTTAAGTTAAACCTGTGTGTATCAGAGAGATACAGGAGAGTACAGAATGGCTCTTACTTAAAATGTAAGGAAGTCTACACATCAACTTAAAAACACCAAACCACCTCCACAGTGCTACTATATTTTGCAAACTCCAGTGCCCAGAGATGACTCAGCAACCCAGAGCTCACCACAGGGGACCAAAATCAAGTTCCCAGTATGCTCTATGTGACAACTCCCATGTTGGACCAGTGCTCTTCAAGTGGTCTGAGGGGCATATATATTCATGAAACACGTTTATTAACTCAAGATTTTAACCGAATCAGACAGCACTTGGGACAGGCATAAGTTGCACAACACCATGAGTTGCACTGCTACTGAAAAATTCAAAATGACCTTTTCACACTTCACAAGCTTCACAACCTCCTTACACAGATTTAATCAAAAACAAGCATGCAATTTACACTTTAGCTTCACCTTTTGCACTGCCAGTCATCCAAAGCATGATGTAAAAAGTCAACCTGTCCACTGCCACTATGAACAGCCCTACAAAATTACAGTCACAGACAGGAAGTAACCATTCCACAATTAATGTGAGACTGACTCATATTCATGTCAACATGGAGAGATCAACCATGAAATCATTTCTTACATTTAAAATCCACAATACTAAATAAAAATCCGTGTCTCAGTGCTGCACTGGGTCATGTATGTCCTAAAATGCACCTGTCCTAGACCTATTACTGTATTTTTTCTTGTAGAAGTAACTACTACTACAAGTTTAACCAAGAACTAGTAGCAAGCAGTATATAAAGACAGAAAATAAGACACATTTTTCATTTTAACTGGAAGCGTAAAATGGAATTCTGTGAAAATAGAAGAAGAATTAGGACCTGCACATCTCACATCATTCAGATTGCTCTCATCATCATTCACATGAGTGCATAGCAGCTTCTATTACAATTTTAATTTAAACTACAAAATTCAAATTTATGACTGCATTTTTGCAACTCTCAAGCTGCCCCATATATTAAAGATTTTAATTCATGCTTTCTCTGATTTAATGTAACTGTTTTGCATTCCTAGATAACACAAGTAGAAAGCAGTGCAAAAAGAATGATTGATAATACTGAAACAAATCCAAATACATACTGAATTCAGTACAGAAGAAACACCAAGAGGTTCTGGCTCCTTCAAATCAACATGTATTACTGGTATGCATATTCTGTCCACTGATGTTATAGGTCACATTGACATACTCAGTTAGTCTCCAGAGATTTAATAGGAGACCTAATGATGTCTGGATTGCATACAGGTTTTGGACATAGAATAATATTTTTCTGTTTTGTATAAAATGTGAACTGAATGATCAAGTTCATGTGCTATGCCATGCATTATAGTACTAAAGAATGCCAGTGATTGCACAAAACTCTTTTACAGTTGCTCTAAAAACATTAATTAAGGAATATTTTGTGTCACTACAAAAACAACACAGGAGGGTAGTGAAAAAATACAGAGCAGGATACAGTAAAATACTGGGTAGTCACTAAGAAACCCAGAGAGCCTCACTTACACTTGCCATAATTCACATTTAACTGAAACCTTAAAGACCAGACAGAAACTGAAGTTCAAGAATTTTATTCTCAGTTGCTACTTTATGCTTTTTATTAATGTAAGTCAAACCCTTCATGCTATTCCCTTAATTTGTAATGTCATTACAACTTCTCTTTAAAGCCTACTCTAGGAAAGTTAAATTCATGAGTAGTAGGGCTTTATCATTAGTTTTTAACTCAGGCCTTGGGGAGGGGTTGTGGGGGAAGGAGAATTACAGGAGAGTACAAACACAAGAACTTACAAATTCTATTCCTTAAAAGCATAAAGAAGTGTGTTGCTGATGTGTAAGTCTTCCTTATGTATTATAACATTATGAAAGTTAGCATAACAGAAAAAAGGAAGTACCAGCTTGGTTCTTCCTTGTGTAATATGAGTTGGAGTATTTCTGTAGAGCAGCACTGAGCACATGAAATTCTTTGCCCACAAAGCAACCTCCTGTCACAACAGCATTTCATTCCAGATCTCCCCACCTAAGAGTTCACTAAGTCGTTTTCATTTTTTCCTGACCTTGCAAATGGTGAGAACAGAAGCACCAATGCAAAAACATCTCTGTCCCCCTTAACACACCCTTTCCCCATGCACATGTAAACTGCGTTTAGGAGCTGGTTGACAAAAAAAAGAGCAAAAAGATGGGCTGTACAGCAATCAAAGATTACCAGTGTCCTAGGTTCAGCAGTAGCAGTCATTTTTTTCCTTCTTCGTAGCCGGTGCAGTGCTGTGTTTTGACTTTCGGCCTGATGTTTTGGTTTGGCCAAGGACTTTGTGAGCCTCATGCTCTGCCAGGGAGGAGGGGAAATCAGGAGGAAGCAGAGACAGGACACCTGACCCAAACTGACCAAAGAGGTATTCCATACCACAGCACGTCATGCCCAGGATGTAACTGAGAGCTACCCAGAAGGGCTGGGACAGTGGGGTTGGAGGAGGTATCAGTCAGAGCTTGGTCGGGCTGGGGGGGGGGGGGGGCGAGTTATTGATTGGCTGGTGGTGAGATGTTGTATTCTCTTCCCTTGTTATTTCCTTTATCATTGTTATTATTGGTGGTAGCAGTAGTGATCTGTGTTATACCTTAGTTACTAAACTGTTCTTATCTCAACCCGTGGGAGTTGCATTATTTTCAGTTCTCCTCTCTGTCCCTCCGGGAGCAGGGGGAGGGAAAGAAGGGAGGGAAGTGAGTGAATGAGTTGCCTGACTGGGTTTAAGCCACCACAGCCAGGAACAGGCTGGAGACCAACCCACATCACCACCCTTGGCCAGTTACTAGCAATGCCACTGAAAGCATGTGAAGTTAGAGCCTTGCTCTGCTACCAGTGAATTATGGAGCGCTCGACAGTGACGTCATGTATTACCAAGACCTTAGCATAACAAAACCCGGATAAACAAAATCAAAGCTCAACGGTCATGAAATTAAATTAGGGGGAAGAAAAATAGGAAGAATAGATGTAAGCATGGTATCTGTTCACTGTAACACACCTCTACATGGACAGTGAGTGATTCACATGAGATGAATGCAGTATAGCAGATCTTGTTTCTTGGCTTATGCCTATGTACATCCCTCTGGAAATACCGCATTTATAACTCCCTGCATCCAACAACGATCGGCAGCTGGAATAGAAAGTTTTCGGCATAATTCAAGTTGTGAGCTTAACCACCCCACCCCCCCTCCCCCCCGCTATCTCCTCCCATACAGCCCAGGCATACTTACTCCAATAAGGCACTAGGACGTGCAGTTTGGCTGCTATCCCCGGCCAGGGCCGGAGTTCAGCCGGGCTTCTGGGCCGGGAGCAGGCAGGGATAGGTCCCTGTACCGGCGCTACGCAACCCTGCAGCCGCGGCGGCTTCGGCACTCACCGGCCGCCAACGAAGACCCAGCAACATCCACCCCTGTGGATGGGCTGAGGGCCTGTGCCCGGGGGAAGCTCCTCCCGGCTGGGGAAAGGCCAACCGGGGAACCTCCTCTGGCGCTCGCCCCGCAACCGATGCCTACCCCAAACGCAGCCGGCAGCCGAGGCAAAGCGAGCGCACCCAGCGCCCGCCGCCCCTATGCTACACGAGCTGGCAGCAGCCTGCGGCTGGCGCCTTCCCGGGCAACAGTTGGCTGCCTCCCCCGGACACCCCCTTCCCGCCGCCCTGCGGGGCTCAGGGGCAGTCGCGCCGCCTGCGGCACCGGCCGGGGCGCGATGACCCTGGAGCAAGCGGCGGAGAGGGCAGGGGGCGAGGGGAACCTTCCGGACGGAGAAGGCGCAGGGTCCGCAGAGCTCCGTCCCCGCCCCGCTGCCTGCGGGGCTGATGCGGGGGGCGCTGCGGGAACGAGCGGCAGAAGCGGCTCAGCCCGCTCGCCACTGCGCAGTCCCGGGCAGGCGGCAGCACCCAGCCCCACTGCCTCCCTTTCCTCTGCCCTTCCTGCTTACCTGAACCGCCCGTCGCCGCTCGCTGCTGCAGCGACTCTCGTCCATCCCCCGCACCTCAGTCAGCCGGCGACGCGCCCCTGCCCTGCCCGGCCCAGCCCAGCCCAGCGCAACGCTCCCGGGCCCGCCCCACGGTGGCTGCGTGCGGCTCCCTCGGACCCGCCTCCAGCCGCCGCGGGCTGGGGTGGGGATGGGGCACTCTGCGGGGCCCAGAGCAGGAGGAGGGGTCCCCGGTGTGGCTGCGGACAGGGAGAAGGCCGGGCGGCTGTGAACGACGGGAACGAGAGACGGGGAGTCCGTCCGCTCCGCAGATGCAGAGGGGAAAGGGGAGCTTGGGCGTCTGCTTGGAGATAAAGGCAGGGAAAGGAGCGGCCATCACCCGTGCTGTCCCCCCGCGCCCGGGGCTATCGGTACTGACCCAAATCCGCCCAGATCTGCAGAGATCCCATCCCCTCTCCTCCCAGCTGGTCGGCTCTTATTTTTGGGGAAGGGGGAGAGCCGGACTGCGTGTGTGTCAGTGTTTGAGATCAGTAGGACTGCGCATACATTTTTCGCATTTTTGGCTTTGCAGAAGGCAGCACTTCCTCAAGACGTCAAAACCAGATCTGAGCCCGTTCACAGCTCGTGAAAATACTTTGTACTTCCTCTTGCTGTTTTGAGGGTTAAATAAGGTTAGAAGTTGCAAGAGTGGTGGAGCAGCGCTTGGTCTCCCCCTTCCCTAAAAGACAAGTATGTGAGTCATTTACAGAAAGAAACAAACAAAAAGCCTACAAGTTACAGTATTGGAAGCACGGCATAAAAATATCTAGATATTTGTTCATACCAGGGGTTTGCTTGGCGAGCTCTTTAAATGTGAGAAGCCATGATGCTGACCGCAAAGCCAGCAAGTACAGCTCTGTGCCAGTGAACCAGAGAGCTCACAGCTGCGTTCTGCCTGGGGCGAACGCCTCGAAGGAAGGGTCTGGGTGCACTGAGAGGTGTGATTCTCATGAATAAGGCAAGCTGTGAAGCGCTGGGAAGCCGAGCGGTTTGGTAGAGCTGTGAGCACGTAGGATTTGCTGCCGGCTTGACCCTCTGCCCTTTCACACCCTCTGAGCAAGCATCCCAGAGTAGCATCACTGAATGCTTTTAACTTCTTGCCTTTACCCAGGCTGTATCCAGATGTCCTTGAATTGTTCTTTGGTCTGAAAATTCCAAATTTTCTAGTTAGAAAATAATTTGAGTGACATACTTAGTCTATTAAAAGCCTTGGTATCTGTTACTGAAGCACATATTTAATATAGGAACCCTTGCAGCACCCAGCTTAGTAGAACACTAAGCTGCTGGCTTGCATTTTTTATCCTCAAGTCTCAAAGTACCTTTTAAAAGAAATAAATCACATTGCTCCACTTTCAAACAGGAAGAACAGTCACATGGAAAACTGGAACCAGGAGAGAGAACTGAACCTCAGATTCTCAGCAGCTTAATGTTCTCTTATTTTTCTGGGGCATGCCTTCTGACTGCTGTGTAATGGGCATGTCTTTAGCTGGATGCTTTTATAAAAGAAGAGGCAGCTGTCACCGATCATCTGGAAATATTCTGACTCCATTAGTGCATGTTATGTGTATGCACTCAGATTGTCTGCACTGAATGCATCAAGGACAGAAGAATATTTTGATTCTTGATACAGATAGTAATTAGGAGCTAGAAAAGTCCAACTTTTAAATCCTGCAAAACAAAGGGACCGTTATATATTGATGAAATGAACTGTAGAACATCTACATAGCTTTAGCATCACATACTGCGCTAAAGACTGAAGTTGAACAGGCTGTAGTGGCATGGCAGGCAAGTGACACATTTCAGATTCTCAGCTTTGCACAATCATGTTAGAGACCAGGAAATAATTGTTTAACTGGCTACTTTTATATTATCCAAGACAACAGTAGCTATCTGTGCTAAACTGTTATGCTAGTGGTGGCATGAGACAAATCAATTTTGAGGCACATCGGTAGGTTTCAGATTCCTCAATGAAGTCACCTCTTACTCCTTGGACTTTGTGAGGGATCTCATATAGTGCCCAAGTTTTGTCTTTGAAGAAGTGCAGGACTCCCATTAAAATTCTGTCTCATGGCTACCAGCCCCATCCCAGTGTTTCAAACACCTTAAGCTTTCTCAGATGAAAGAATGCGCTTGCATTTACACATGTGAATTGTGCCTCTAAATGTAGGTATACAAACACCTGCATGTTATTAGATGTTAATTAGGTATCTGTTCTCCCATTAGTCAGGAGTAGGGTCCAGGCCTGATGCTTTCATACACTTGTCTTGCATATCATGAGAAACAGGTAGGTGCCTACGGTCAGTTCCCTGGTGAGCCACACAATGGACCATCCACAAAGAGGCTGTGTTATCACAGATCAAAGCTACCCAGGCTCTGTTGACACAGGTCCTGTTCCACAGGTAGGGTAAGCAGATGTATTCAGGGCTTCTTAAGGTGCACTTGGGTATCATGCCTTGTTTTCTACTGCTCTTCAAAAGCATCAGATCTCTTGTAGGTCCTTGTGACCTATCTCAGGTAACTCAGAATGCCCATTGCTATGCAAATGAATGTGTCTTAACTACAGTAGAACCTTAGACACCTAGCTGAAGACACCTTCATACAGACATCTAAAATTTAAGAGCCTGAATCCCACACTGAATCTCATCCAAACCAGTCTGCAATCTCAAATGTCAGGCAAATTGAACACTTTTTTTTTTTTTAAGATTCTGCCCTTATAACATCTGCTGTATTTTGAATGCTGTCACAGTTTTGAGTTTTTTTGGTGTTGTTTTGTTTTTTTTTTTGTGGGTTGGTTGGTTGGTTTTTTTTTGGTTGTATTTTTATCAGGAATGATTCATCAAGTCACTTACAATGTTGGCAGATACTTGAATTTTTGTCTACCTGGAAGAGAATTGTTTAGTCTTTTGTAGAGGTTGGTGCCTTGCAAGTCTTGAAATTCATGGCTTTGTGCAAAATTGCACTAACAGTCATCTGGATGCAAACAGAGGTCTCAGAACAGATGGGAATATGAGCTTTCAGCTTTTGATGTTTAGCTTGCTAAGCAGAACTAATGTATTTATCTAGCAGTTTTCTTAAGCATTGCATGTAGGAATCAATTTGTGAATAAAAGGACATCTTTCTTAATGCTCATTTTAGCTTTGTGCAGACTGAAATGAAGGTTAGTATGAAGAGCATTCCTTGGAAAAAGAAAGATTTAAACCTCAGTTCAGAGGTTACCAAATTCAAGGGGAAGTGTCTTCTATTTCAGTGGCCATTGAATCAGGCCCTTAATCATATCCTCAGTTTGGAAGTACTTTATTTTTGTGGTTAACTCAGAAAAAAAGGATAATGCTAATATATTCTATGAAGTAAACTGTATGAATATTCAGTAGGATCCTGTCATCACTTGCATAATTCATGGTACCAGTGATATTGTTTGGAATTGTAGCTGTTCATCACTTGTGAAGATGAACTCCAGTGCTATTTTGGAATTTAGGGACAGAATTTTCTTCTCTGAAATTTTCTGCTGAAAATTAGCAATAAAGCCTTTTGAGACAAACAGAGGGAGCAGAGAAGGGAGTTAATCTATTATTTTACGACTCTGAATTGTGTCTGAAATTGTTTCTTATGACAGAATTATGCGGCTGTGGTTTTGTCAGTATCTTTCTTCTTGGGACAATCATTATTAAGGGAGCAGAGATATCTTCTTCATCTCAATTGTTGTAGATATAGTCAGCTTGAAGAGCTTGCTTTCTCAGCATAACATTGAGCCTTTACTACAGTAAGCCCTCCGGTTTATTTCTTGTATCAACTGAAGCATGGGCAGCCTGATCTTTGCTGACAAGGGACCAACCATGGCAGATTAGAGCAGCTACGCCGCTCACTGAAAATACAGGAGTCTCAGCTGGAAATCTGACCTGTATTTATCTACCTGTTTGGAAGTCAGTATATAGAAAATAAAATCCCCTTTAAAAGACACATATACATTAAGTGATGGGACTTTGGCTATGTAACTGTATAGGAATGTGATTAGACCCTAGGACTTTTTTTGTGTATGGTTCTTAGTTGTAACTACCTTATTCACATAAACATGGACAAAGCGTAATAATAGTGTTCGTATACACTGAGACATGCTTCTTGTTAATGCTGTAGCACTGAAAATCATAAAAACAATTAGCAGGAAAGTTACCTTTTTAATTCAAAAGTTTATTGAGAAGCAAACACAGAAAATTTATTCATTCTGTGTGCTGCTTCTACAATGAAACTGCAGAGTATTTCAGTGTAATTACATTGTAAAAAATTAGCTCAGATTTGCTTGAAATAATATTCCTACTGCAAAACAAATAGTAATAATTTCAGTAGCTCACTGGATATGTAATGTTTCATTTATCACTATTAATAAGAAAATGTCTAAGTACCGAACTATTTTAAGCTGGTCAGCACAAACCCATTTTCATTTGCATCTAGCAAGATGTATCCTGGCAACCGTATATTTTTGGATTCGTAACAATTTATTCTATTCATTTTATTCAAATGAGGTAACCAATACTGCAAAAATCACGAGAATTTGAGATGGATAACTTCTATTATTCAGAGCTATAGATAGAAGACTAGGAATCCATGTGAGGAATTTTTTTTTTTTTAATAACCTATTAAACATTTCCTTCAGTCTGTCTACCCAACTAAAATGTTTATCTGACATGGTTCACATACTTTTACTCCAAAATGGAAAGCAGCAGCAACCCAAGCTGTGTCCTGGGAAGTAATGCTTATCCCACACCACAGGCCTCATCCTGCTGTGTTATTTTCTGAGTTGAAAATATTGCAATTTTCCCCAGACTCACATAGAACTTACAGGGGGAAGAGGAAGAGCAGAGGCTCCAAACATTGACCACATCTGACTTGACTGCATGCTGACTTGAAAATTTGATAATACAGTCCCTACAGCAAACACTAGGTTTAAGTGATATGTATGAGTTTTTTATCATATTGTGTGTGAATGTCACTGAAAGGACATTTTTCAGGGAAGCCTATCTTCTGGTTTTGGTGGATATGTGTGAATTGTTTGCATTTGCTATAGAAGAGGTTTTGCAGAAACCTGTATATCTTCAGTATATTCTTTTATTATCAAAACAGTTTCTTTGAGAAGATTTAAGGAGTTCTGCTGGGACAAAGCTCTGTTTACAGAAACATTTGATATAATACCTTCATAAGAGCCAAATGTCTATAAAAAGAATTTCTTTCTTTTTTTCCACTTGTGGTGTTCAAGAGCTTTCAGTTTGGATCAGAATCACTGAACCTGCATACTCTTAACAAGCCAGGCCTATATAGTTCCTTCTAAAACAACAATGAAAAATGAAACTTTCTGTAGCAACATAGCTGGTACATTGAACCAGAATCCCGCCAGCTAGTCATCAACGTACATGATGGCTACTGTTGTTCCACTCTAAGACAATAATCTGGATACACCAGTGTATATCCAGACTCAGTTATACCCAGAATAAATTCAAATTCGACAACTGAAATAAATAGTCCTCGGTCACTTTTCCTGTCCTTGTAGCAGAGCTAAGTGTACGTACAGCAAGAATGGGTCAACAGTTTATGAAGCAACTCCTGAGTCCCTGAAGTATGCAGGTGCCTTAGGACCCATCCATACATGGTAGTGACCAACACAGTATTCAGAATGTGCTTCATGAGATAACCAGTAGAGCCTTCCTTGAGTACAACTGGCTCTGTCAAAACAGAGGAGTACATAGGTGATGAAAATGGAAATTTCAGCCATCTCAGTTTGCCCCATTGCTACATGGCAGTCAGTGAACTTAAGTTTGACTGGAATCTTTGTTAGAGAGTTGAAAGGTCAGAACTCCATTTGATGATGTATGAAGTGATGAGCAGTTGCTACAGGAAATTACGCAAGCGTGTTTAAAGTAACAGTTGGGTTGCTTTTGTAATAGGAAAAGCGAGGGTTTGAATTGCCCATACAATCTCAGTGTGGATCCCAATACATATACATTATGATATTTTTGCTAACTCCATATACATGAATGCTTTATGTTTATAAACAAACACACATAGCCTCTGACTCAGCCAGAAAGGAGGGGGGGGCCCAGCTGGACTACAGGAAAAGTATATTCAGCTCTTGATTCTGGTATATCCTAATTCTTAACTCTGCAGCTTTAAATACTGTAATACTCTGTCTTCCACTCACTATTTGGAAATGATCTGCAGGATCCAGGCTCTCCTTTGAAAGAGCATTAAGTTGTGAATGGATATTATCTTCTCAGTTTTACTGTAATGCAAAGGACATGACTGCTCACAGCTGTTTGTCAACTTCTTGCCTGTGTTTATTGTCTCCAAAGATTTGCTGGGATGATTTGCTAATTGACTATATTAGACAGGTTAGATTAAACAGTTTTACTTCTAGGTCTTTCCTGGGTCATCTCATTTCAACTGAACCATGTAATGATATGCTTACCCTGTCAACTCTGCAGGAAGACATGAGTAAATGTGACAACTTCCAGTGGAGAGAGAGATGGGCAGGTTGTTCTTGGAGTGCACATCTGCTTAAGCATCCAGCAAACTTAAGGCATTCAAAACTGGGTTCCCTATTCTACAATTATTTGGCTCCTCTGATATAGCAAAATATTTAAAGCACATGCTATAAATTTCATTAAGTCACTTGGGTTTATCTGTACCTGTTTATTGGGTTTGATGTACCCAAAATAAATCTGAGGATATATAAAAATCACTAGGTGTAAATCTTTTTTTTTTTTTTTTCCTGAAGGTTGCTTTTTTCCCTTTACCTGTGTTTCACAAATTGGAGGGGACCTATACTACATGCAAAGCAGCAGAAGACTGACTCCTCTCTCTTTTCTGTTTTTATTTGAGATCAAGGATGATAAATAAGTTTAAAATTGTCTTACATATTTTATTCATCTGACAAAAGCCCCCACATTCCATTTTTTTTTTCTCTAAAATCTGAAGAGTCAAGAATGGCACCTCTTTAAAAAGGAGTGCTTCTTAGTCAAAAGTTCAAAGAAAATTTAAGTGTAACAGCACTCAATTTTGACGTGGTGCCAACATGAAAAAAGTTTAAGTCCTCTACAAATCTAGGCATTCCAAGCTTAGGCTATCATTCATCTAGTTTGTAATACAAACAGCCCAGCCATAGAAGTGTTAGGAACATTGAGATAACGCTTTTTTCACTTCCAAAAGTGCATTATCATCTTATAAAAGATATAATAATTGTAGCCCACATACTATCCTCCTGATAGATGATGTTAAAACTACTTACAAAAGGTAAATGTCCTCATTAATAGTAAACTATCTCAGCCTTTTCTGATATCTAGACTGGGAAAGCTAAACACATTCTCCTGAGTTTAACCTTGCATCTCTTCATGCAAGCATTGAGTTTATATGTAAATGAAATCAAATATTACTTATCTGAAAGATAAATACAGTGGTAATTATATAACCTGGTTTCGGTGATACTTAGTTGCCATCTGGGGTTAAACCACAACATTATGAAAAGTCAATAGTCAGCAGTCAAGCAGATGTGTATAATGAACAATAATTAATGCTGAGTCAATTATAAGGATAAATGGAAAGTTCATTTATATGGGTAGAAAAAAGACTTGTTTCCACAGTAAGTTGAACAGTCATAGGATCACAGGATCATAAAATAATTCACGTTGG